GGCAGCACCTTCAGTTGACACCCAAATTGGCAGCACCTTCAGTTGACACCCAAATTGGCAGCACCTTCAGTTGACACCCAAATTGGCAGCACCTTTAGCTGGCACCCAAATTGGCAGCACAAAAAAAGTGACACCCAAATGGGCAGCACAAAAAGAGACACCAAATTTGGCAGCATTCAAAGCTGACATTAAAATTGACAGGAATGCATTACAGCTCTGTATTTCGTTGCTCTATTGGATCAAACAATAATGGGAAAGTCCATTATTTTAACTGGGCAGCCACTGTCGGTGCATTCCAACATTATCAGCGACAATAAGAGTACATGCATATAACTAATAAAATTACACACAACATTCAACGCAACGACATCCAATTAATCGACAAGTCAAAGCTGTCTTTACTTCAAAAAAAAAAGTATTAACAAGTACATGAATATTGTTATCCTAGTGTGTGGTGAAAGAACCGACTTGGCTTTTGCCATTGATGCCTCAGGAAGCATGGGACCTGAAGACTTCGCAAAAGCCAAACGTTTTGTCAAGGCACTAACTGCAAGTTTCAAAGTGTCCTACAAAGGAACCCACGTTGGTGTCATACGATATTCCACTAAAGCCAAAGTCATGTTCGACTTTAACAGCTATTTCAGCCATGACGAAGTCAACGATGCCATTGACGACATCGAGTACACGGAGGGAGGAACGAGAACTGAGTTTGCCCTAGAGTTCGCCAGAACAAAGCTTTTCTCTGAGTCCGGAGGATACCGACCTGCACAGGACATCTTCAAGATATTTATTCTAATGACAGACGGCAGATCCGAGAGCAGAAGAAAAGTTGCAAAAGAGGCAAGGTTATTAAAGCAACGAGGTGTTCACGTTCTGGCTGTGGGTGTCGGGAGATCAACCAATCAGAAAGAGCTGGAATCCATAGCAACCAGCAAGAGTGACGTCATTGGGGTGTCGTCGTTTAGGGAGCTGATGATCAGAATGAACGAGATCAAGGACAAGCTTTGTGATAGTAAGTAACTCTTGCACAACTAGGAAATTTTGTATGTACGGAAGTGGGTGAAATATCAACGTTACACGTGGTCTGAATTGGGAAAGCAATACGCCCAAGATAAAGCGGTCTATTCCAAGAGAAGCTTCCTGTTATTTTCATAAACATGCGAACTCCGTAGTTGCGATTTCCCAGTAGGAATTTGGATTTTCACTGCCGCTAATCAAAAATATGAAAGGTACCGACTTATTAGTTTTGATTGACGGCAACCAGAAACCAAATTTCAGAGTGCAGCTCGCAGACACAGAGTTCGCATGTTTATGAAATGAGCAGTAAATGAGAGGGAGCTTTTTATTAAACAAAAGCATTGACTGATTTCACAGGAGTTCAGCATTCTATTCTTTGGCCCACTGGGGCTCGCTACCCTGGTTACTGGCTGCGCTGTTTCTAACCATATTTTTTTATACGTTTCAGTTGCAATTGAAAACGAAAGGAGAGCAAAACTCAGGACAACAAGAAGGCCAAGCCGAGGACGTGGATAATTAATTAAAACAAAGACATTGTTATAATTATTAAACAAGCTAGCCTTGTGAGTGCAGTATCGGTAGCCATACCACGATACAGGCGACGTCTTCTCCATGTACATTTGTAAGCATAAATTTTATCTTACTTCAAATAAGTAAGTCTCTACTTGCCTTACTAAATCTCCCTGCATGAAAACTAATATGTTAAATACGTAAATAATTGCTAGGATAATATTAAGCTATCAGACTGAACACAGATTGTTCATTACAAGTTATGGGACTGCTAAGGTCTAATGCGCATGCACAATGATATCGTGTTGCGGTCACGTGATTCAGTGATCACATGACCGTGTAAAAGGTTTTCAAAAGAATAGCTTGAATATCAGGATGGTGGTGGTGGTGGTTTTGGTTGTAGAGCGAAGAAGATAACGGCAGCATTAGATTTGATAACGATAAGGACGACGACGACGAAGATGATGATGTGCAATAGTGCAGTAGCAATCATGATGGTGACGCTGGTGATAGTTGGTGACGATGATTCAACTATTTGTATAAATATTATATAATTGTATTAACTGTAAGACAAAAAAGAGGACGGTATTAAAATTGGATACCCAGTGAGAATAGAAAGCGTGCGCAAGTTTGAGGGTAAAACGTGGTGCAAAATTTGCTTCAAAAAGCTAGAAAATAAAATGTATAACATTTGACAAAATAGGACACTGAGGTATCCCATAAACAAATATGTTAAACATGTATATGTATACATAATAGGGCAATGCTGGGACGTAAAAAGCATTTGTTAAGCTAATAAGATGGGGTTCAAATGGAATTCTTTAGACGAAAGAAGAAAAGGATAAATAGCTATTCCAAGGTTGTGGGAAAAACTGGCTTAATTCGGCATTGCAATGTATTGTACGACTGTTTTAGGGACGAAATGAGACGCCATCTTGGAAATGTCCCCCAAAACATTCCCACAATACACTGCAATGGCAACTCGACCCAGATTTTTTTCTCGCCCTGGGAATGGCTAATAAATAATCTTATGCCAAAGGGGGATCCTCTGGCTACTCCTTTGAATTGCGATGCAACTACTTAGGTGAAAGTGCATACAGAAATGTTCAAATTGAACTTAATATAGACCGTTTTGGTATTATATAATCACAATTATATAAGCTTAAACTATCTGTATGAATATAGAATTATTACAAATAGATATAACGAGCTTAAGCTAATAAAATAAAAAATAAATGTCCAATATGATGTATAGTTTATATGAATGTCTGGTACTTTTGCAAATCAAATTTATCAAAATTCCCTGCAGCAACAGGAGCAAAATTTTAAAATCGAGATTAAGTCTGCAGTTCAAATTGTCAACCGAAACAGCAATTTGCTTTTCCTTGTAATGGTTATCTCTTGTTTGTCAAAAAAAAAAAAACCGCTTAAAACATAGGTCAAATTGACTGAAAGTTTAAATCAAAGTGTATCTGTTATGAGACAGAATGACTGACAGAGTTAAGATGCCATAAGGATTCTAGTTTCAGTGTTTGTATCAAAATCCTGGCGAAAAAATATTTGAGAAATGTGGAAGACAAAATGGAAAGAAATGTGAGAGCTGACAAGAAATGACACAGAGCATTAGGAAACAAACAAAAAGAAAAACTGATAAAAAAAGAGAGAAACAAAAGAAATGGTGCACTGTCCATTTAAATTTTGCTGATATACTTTTTTTAACTTAGTTATGACATCACACACCTAGTATTGTATTACAACATTCAATGCTCAGCCGGCAACAGACCTTCTTTGTTGTGATCCCCGTTAAAAAATATCTGACAACTTTGAGATCTTTGAGGATTTCTTCATATTTTACAGTCTTAACTTGTAACCTTCTACCTAAGCTTTAAGAAGATGAGCAAGACTACCTCTCAAAGCAAGATTCCAATACTCAATTTACTGATATTTTATCTCATCAATGTTAACAATGCCAAGGACAGAACAGGCAGCCCAACTCGTTTCTACACCAAAAACCTCGAAGAGATTTACAGCAAGAATACCGTGACTGGAAGCAGGCCTGGTCGAATCATGGCTTCTGTAGGAAACGGTTTCGTTGGGACTATAATTTACACCGATACAATACACGTAGCTGGTATTTACAATGGCAAAGCTGTCTCTAAACAGTGGCCGATATATCCGTTGTATTTCTACGAGCATACACATAGAGCTCGGATACCCTCGACTTGCGCGATTAATTTTACCGTGGTCGACAGAAGTGGAGAAAATTCGTACGCTTTGGACGTGTCCGAAGGGGTATTTTATCGTTGGTTTGAGAGCGATGATAAAAGCATTACAGTCGAACAAAGAATTTATGCTCATCGGTCACGCAAGCATTTGATCGTTGTGGAACTTTCTGTCACGAAATCTCTTGGTGAGAATGTCACGCTGAGTCTGTCAAATAACAAAGGACTGCCATCGAGGGATATTAATTTTAAGGAGTATTCTCCCAAACCTGGGGTTATGTTTGGCGTGGGTGAGGTATGTATAATACATGACACAGTAAATAACCTTATTAATAGATAGAGTGCTGAAAGACAACGTTCCAATGTTTTGTTTTGGATCGCGATTTATGAGCATGCGCAATACCCTTTTCTCAGTGTGGTTCTCACCTTCGAACCCAGGCTCCTGTCGTTCTTATCACTCTTTTCACTGCTACGCGCTGATCGAGACAACATTCGCAACAGGGAATTAGGGCAATACACTGCGCGCCAATCAGAGAATATAAAGGTACCGAAAAAATTTATGTGATTGACGGGAGGGTATCGCCCAATTTCCCTGGCGACTGTGGTCTCGATCAGCCAGTAGCAATGAAAATAGTGATAATGCGCATGCGCCAGCATTTAATCAAGCATGCGCAGTAAGAATGACAGGACAGGAGGTTGTTATGGTAACCTGGTACAAAAAATAACGTTTTGTAGCCAACTCAGCCTCGATTGAATGCCTTACGTCTTAACCATGGTTTATAAAATGATCAAACATTTTAATTTTTTTTACTTACATCAATAACATCGGACGTTACTGCGTGTGCTCCAGGTGAGGAAACCAGAGGATACTCGTGGATTCAAAGCCAAAGTTGGAGTGGCGTGGACGGAGATCCCCTCGTCACTAACAATTGCCGCCAAAGTTAAGAATAAGACTTGGTACTTCGTCACGGCGATAACCAGCAGCATTAGCTATGGAAAAGATGTCGTTGTTAATGAAACGCTAGCACAATGGGAAGACGCTAACAGGTTGATATATTATTTCTTATCCAGAATTTTCTTTGCTATTTTCCCATTTACTTCAAGTTTTTCTTTACAAAGAACTAAACCTATAAAGATGTCTTCTTTCTTATCAGAGATAAGAAAAGCTTGCTTAAAAGCCACAAGGAAGCTTGGAAAAGGTTATGGGATACGGGCAAGATAGATATCGAAGGCCACCTGGAGTTATCCCAGGCTGTTTATGGCAGTATGTACTACATCCTCAGCTCAACCCGGGCTGACTGGCCGTACGGGTTAAGCCCCGGTGGTCTCCCGGGCGGGGAAGAGTACATGGGGCATACATTTTGGGACCAGGATATCTGGATGTATCCATTCTTGGTATTGCTTCACCCGGATCTGGCGAGAGGTTGTTTAGAGTACAGATACCAGAGATTGCCCGCTGCTCGGATACTGGCTGAGAAGTATGGATTCAACGGTAAGAAAACTTACTATATGTAAATCAGTGTATCAGGCCATAACGATCTTGACGTGCAATTGCAATCTTTCTTTTAAAAAAATAGACAAGTACATTCATGACATTGTATTTGTGTGGATGGCTAGCTGCATGGGTGATTATGTGGATGGATAGCTGGATGGGTGAATAGGTGGATGGATAGCTGGATGGGTAAATAGGTGGATGGATAGCTGGATGGGTAAATAGGTGGATGGATAGCTGGATGGGTAAATTGGTGCATGGATAAATGGACGGAGAGAAAGATCGGATGTGATAGATGTGTAGGTGAATGGATGGACGGTCAGATCAACGACTGGATGGATGGGGTGGTTTAATAACGTACGAATGGACGGAAGGGTAAACAATGGATGGATGGATGGGGTGATGATATGTGGGTGGATGGATGGATGAATAAATAAAAAGAGGGATGATGGATGGACAGGAAGGCACAATATATTATAAGTCTGATTCTAGGTGCAATGTTTCCATGGGAAAGCTCCCTCAGCGGTATGGAAACCTCTCCAGGCGACTACTACGGAGAAAGTCAAATCCACATATCAGGAGACATCGCGCACGCAGCAAAGCTCTACTGGAGGGCAACCCAAGATTACCAATGGCTGAAGAAGATCGGGTACCAACTGGTTAAACAGACCGCAGACTTCTGGGCAAGCAGGGTGTATTATAAAAGAAAGGACGAGAAGTATTACATACATTTCGTGATGCCGCCAGATGAGTACCAGTTTCCTGTTGATAACAGTATCTATACGAATGTGGTGGCGAAACAGAACCTGGAGTTTGCTGTCAAGGTACCTTTATGAAGGAAAATAATTTTGTATAGTTGAGAAAATATTGTGAAAGTGTGATTCCTCCACGCGAGCCTCGCATTCTAGTGCTTGAAAATAAATTGGTTGCGGGTTAAACGAAGGTTTTTATTATAATGAAAATAAACATGGCCGCCGCGTGAACAAGACCCATGGTATCAACTCCGGCTTACTCTTGAATAGGCATTTTTATTTCCTGTGCTTCGAGGGTTTTTCTAGATCTCTCTGCATAAATCAACTTCTAAATTTCATTTGGAAATGAATAGATGAAGAACCACTCTGTAGAAAGCTACATATATCCCATATATTTATTTTCCCATATATTCATTTTCCCATATATTCATTTTCCCATATATTCATTTTCCCATTTATTCATTTCCCCATTTATTCATTTTCCCATTTATTCATTTTCCCATTTATTCATTTTGCATGCTTTTATTTCGTAGGAATGTAGGTAATAAATAACTACTTCTTTTTCAATCCTATAGATATCTAATCTACTTGGTCGATACGTACCTACTCGCTGGAACAAGATTGCCGAACAGATGTACATCCCCTTTGACAAGAAGCTCAAATATCATCCTGAGTTTGATGGCTACGATCTCAACATGACTGTAAAACAAGCAGACACGATTCTTATTGGATTTCCGTTGATGTACGACATGGACAAGCAGGTATGAAAGCTGCTTTATTGTAACATTGGCGCTCGACAAGAGGTGCAAGACTTGAGATGCGCACACAAAAAAATTAACGGGCGCCGATCACATTTTAGGGCATGGTGCACTTAGTAGCGCAACAGTCTTCTGTCTAAGCTTCTACGCTGGAGACAATGTTTTTAGGGGTGTCACGCAATACTTCTTAACGTTACTCAAAAAAAAAAAAAAGTTGGTAGAGAAAAGCGTTGGGTGCCGAACCAAGGAGTCTAGCAGCGCGCAAAAAGTCGTTTTTTTTGTCACAGAATTAACAATAATTTTGCTTCCATTTTATGACGCGATTAAATTTGTTGTTGAGGTCACTTTCCATTAACTTCAACAAATCATCCTTCTCTCCCTCTCCCGAGACAATCCCCGTAACAGTTGCAGAAAAAGTGGGCCCTCCTACAGAAAGCCTAGAACTCTCCTGTAGATACTCTACATACACACTCCTACACACCCCTGTTGACAATTTCATTATGTTACATAGGTCCGCTACAATGATCTTCGTTTTTACTCTGAAATAACGACGAAGCATGGTCCTGCTATGACTCACGCCATGCATGCTATTGGCTGGTTAGAACTGGGTATGGAAAGGAAGGCACACAGGGAATTTAGGAAAAATTATGACAACATCGTAGGGCCATTTAAGGTATGAATGAAATCACAAATCTATACAAGAACTACGGTCGTATTAACACTAGTGGATTTTGTGGAAACTTCTTGGTTGATTATTTTCCCCTCCCCTCCCCTCCAAGGAATGCCTTAAAAGAGAACGGCAAATAGGGCATCCGAGAAAATAAAGAAGTTTTCCGGGGTTGAGAGTGCTCTCAGGGTTTCATGCAACATCCGTTTTTTGTTTAGAAGACGTTTTACAAATTCAGGACGGTTTAAACTATTTGCTATATTCATTGCCTACCCAACCGCTTTACCCAGTCCCTGTGCGACAAATAAGCACTCACACCCCCCC